TCCAGATGTTGTTGTTGTTGTTGGTGGTGGTGTTGTAGACAATTCTTTTTCATTCATAACCCTATAGTATGTATAAGCTTGTATTAATTCATTGTAGAGTCTTCTACAATACTTGTTGTTTTTAGTCCGTATTTTGCAGTCTTTGCAACAGATTTCTTGAAGTCTCCAGTACTTGTTCTTTGTGCGTACTCTGCATTCTTCTAAATTTGGGCCCGAATAAGCTTTACAGTGGCCTGAATAAGCTTTACAGTAATTAAACTGATTATAATATTTCCAACAACAGAGTTCTTGGATTTTTCTGCAAATACTACTGACCAGTATTGTATCTTCTGTTGTTGTTGTAGTCGTTTTCCTCGAATCACCGGTTATTACTCTTGTATCTTCTATTATAGTCGTCGAATCACCAATAGCTTTTATCATCGTTTCCTTTTCATAACCGGTAGTAGTCGTTTCCCTTATATCACCTGTATCTTTAATAGTCGTCTTCTTTGCATCTTCTATTTCATCAGTCTTGGTGTCTACTTGTTTACCACCAGGTAGAAAGTATGCCTGAGGAGCTAAGTCACCAGAGGGAACTGACGGCACTATTCTTGGACTTCGCCAAAAAGTATATGTTGTATAACCGGTTTCATAACTACTATGTTGTTTTAATAGACAAATACTATTAATCCAGTAATTATAGTTAGATTCATTATCAAAAATTTTAATGCTATTCAATTCTCTTTCAAGGACTGCAACTGTCGGAACTATTCTTCTACAACAATATTGTTCATACGCACATTATTAAAGTCTTCTTCTTCTGACTCTATTATTCTGTTTCTTTTATTAAAATGAAATAAAAATATAAATACTGTAAACATTCCAATTATAATTATAATGATTCCTGCAAATTGTCCAGGACTAAATAATACTGTTGTTATTGTTGTTGTTGTTGTTGGTTCAGAATTTATTGATGTTGTTATTTCAAAGCTAGACACAGACGCTGGTTCAGAGCTGTTAGACACTTGCTCAATACTCGTTTCCAAACTTGCTGTTGTTATTGATTGTTCAGAACTTGTAGAGGATTTAGAATTTGTTGTTGTTATTTCAGGTTGTTCAGAACTTGTTGTTGTTATTTCAGGTTGTTCGGTTATTGGTTCAAAACTTGCTGTTGTTATTGGTTGTTCAGTTGATTTAGAACCTGATTGTTGTTCAGTTGTTTCAAAACTTGTTTTTGTTATTGTTGATTGTTGTTCAGTTGTTTCAGTTGTTATTGGTTCAATTAGTTCAAAACTTGGTGGTTGTTCAGTTGATTCAGAACTTGTAACTTGTATTAGTAATAATAAAAGACTACATCTTAACAACGATCCAGAAAACATAATGATAATCTGGCTGGCTGGCTGGTAGTCTGGGGAAGATTTAGTTTTACATGATTACTTTATATGTATGTATAAAATGGTGTTCAGATGCCAGATACCACCATGTCATTTTCATTTTTACAACTCTGGATTTGGATTATCAACTTTATAATTTTAACCACTCTTTTAGTGGTTGTATTTTATCTAGTATTTTTAATAATAGCTGATGACATGAATTAATGATTTGTTGCCTCTCGTCCTTAGTAAATAATAATATATTATTTTCTTGGAATATGTTTAACATTTTAATCGACTCTAAAATATACTATGATTTCTCTACCAAATTTTTCTGCATTTCAGTAACATTAGAATTACCTAAAATGTCGTATAGACCCCACTGAGTACCTTCACAATTACTATTATGTAGGTTATTATATTTTTGTAAATTTTGAACTTTGGGAATTATTTCATTATATACATCAATTTCATCGTGAAAGATTGTAATTAGTGATTGTAAGTCATATACTTTGTTAGTTTCTTTTAAAAAGTTGGATATTTTATTTAATTTAGATATTTCTTTTAATAAATTTATTATACTAAAACGTTCAAGCCGTTCAACGAGTTCAGTAATATATAAATCTGGTAGTATAAGATTAAAATTATTTATATACCCTAGATTAGACTGAATTGTTTTCTGGGCTTTAGTTAAGTGTTTTTCGTTTAATTCATACAATACGCCAAGTGCTTGTATTTTAATTCCGCCGATAATTAAATTTTTACGTAAATCATTGAGAAAAGTCGAAAAATATGATTTATTATTTTTTATTGTGTTTGAGTAAGGTCTGGTTGTGTTGGTTGCAGTTATAAATTTATCAATATTGTCATCAATTTTGCATAAACAAATAAGTTGATCCTCAAAATGATGGAAATATTCTTCATTATACAAACACCTATCTATAATATTCCTTATATGATAAAGATGTCTTATTAAATCCTCACTTTTTTCTTCTAATTGCGGAAAAGGTTTTCTATAGCCCATCAATACTATAATAGCTAGTACCGCAATAAGTGTTATAATTTTATATATTATCGTAGTATTAATTTCCATTTTTTGTATGTTGTTAAGTTAATAATTAAAAATATTAAAAAAAAAAATAATCCCGCCGTTTCATTAACCAAATCCAAATATAATTTCAGTTTTATTCTTAGCTTGGGGGGGGGTTACAGAATAAAAAATGAAACTGTCAGGAGATTCCTACTAGTATTTTAATAACTCTTTTCTCATTGGCTGGCGAAGGATGCTTATGGGTGGGAGCTCCAGTTTTCAGGTTGGTCTAGTCTATGATGTGAACTTAAGAATGTAAATATCAGTTTGTCCTGTCTATGTGGATTGAGAACATTGTGTTAAGATATTTCGTCCAAGTGCAAGTAAGTAATAATACTAGTATAGCTTTCAATAAGCTATAAAATTAAATTTATATTAATTACAACTGCTAAAGAAGCAGCCTAATCATTTTTATTTTTTTCTACAGAATAATTATCGGAGATGGTTGCTACATATAAAACCGATGTATGCTGCACGTTCATTTGTTCGTGTTCCAGGAAGTGGAATTGCCAAAGTAGCGGGGAAGAAATCAAAGTCTTTATGCTGGGATCTTGCACGTTCCTCAACAGTTGCTGCAGTTATCACAGTTGAACCAATGTTACCACCAGCAATATCAATAACAATAGAATCCTCAAAATTAATCCAGAAAGATGGACAAACTGAAAAAAAAATGAAACTCGGAAAAGGTCGTACAGGGATCAAAATGCTGCTGCTAGTAGTAGCAGTGAAGTTTATAAGTTAAAACAAGAGCTTGATAATGTAAGACGACAAAATCAAGATCTTCAAAAGCGATTACAACTATTTCATGACCTGTTCAATGACAAAAAGCGATTGGTAGTTATGATCAAGAATTGGGTATCAGAAAATTAATAATATGCAACATCTTTACAGGCAAACAGAGTATTGGGTTTTATATCTAGAAGTGTAAGTGCAGAGTCTTATTACAAAATGTTTGTTTTTTATTTCTTCCCTCGAAAGAAAACTTTATATAATTAATATTTCTCCATCTTCATTTTCTGATTGATTATTGGTATTACTATTTGTTATATTAGTTGGAGTGGTGGTGAGTGTGGCGGGTATATCAGTGGATTGTTGCATAAATAGTGGTGGGTGTGATTTTAGTAATACATTTTTATCAGGTATTATTAATTGATTGGAATCATCTCTTAATTTATTTAACACATTAATATTTAAATGCCTATACCGGCGACTCGCTGCTAAATTAGCATTAACTCCCCAAACTAATTCCTTATCTTTCAAAAAACTTTTTGTATAATACTGGTCAGTACTTATCGTATTCTCTCTTATCTCTCCTGATTTATCATCCCCACTTCCATTACCCTCTCCTTCTTCTTCTTCTTCTTCTTCTTCTTCTTCTTCTTCTTCTTCTTCTTCACATTCTCTATTTATAATTTTATCTGTTGTATTTCCTTGATTTACATAATGAGAAATAAACTCCTTATAACTAGAATGACCTAATATTTCACCTATAATTTTTAATGGCATAATTGTATCCTTTGACATTTGTTGTGATAAAATATTAAAAATTCTAGTTGCATAATCAGCTCTAATGGAATGTAAACCAGCACCTTTGAGTTGTTCTTTTTCAGTTTCGTAATTTGATTGTTGCTTAAATTTTCTATTCTCAGCAATTAAATGTAGGGATTTTCTAAAAAATTTTTGTGTACTCTGATAACTTACATTAAATATCCTATCATTCAAAAAGGGCAGAAATGACTTGTTTCCTTGTGTTTTTGCATTTAATTTAAATTCTAAATATGGTATTAGATACTGTGTAAAAAAAATAAAGGGTTCACCATGAAATATAGGAATATTTCGGTCTTTTCCTTGTTTTCCGTAATAAACGGGTAAAACAATTGACTCTGATTTAGGATTATAACTGTCTATAATATTTTGATAGGTTAATTTTTCAGTTTCCTTAGCTCTTAATCCTGTATGATATATAAGAATTAGTTTATATATATGTTCTCTATTAATACGGCTGTTATTCCAAATGTGAATAAGAGTCTGAGAAATTAGAAGACTGTCGAGAATTGGTTTATTATTTCTCCTAAGACTACCACATAACTTTGGTAGAGCTAATTCTACACCTAGAATAGGACCAATTAAATATTTATTTAGTGTTCGTATATTTGTTTTTCTTGTCTGAAATTTAATCTTACCATCTTGATTGAGGTATGTGTTGTAATCTTCAACTATTACTGTAGTTAATAATGCCTTCCTTCCTATTTTATCAACTTTGAATCGTCCAAATTTTCTTATAATACTTTCATAGTTTCTTAGACTAACCTGTTTAAGCATACGAGTTCTACTATTACCAACAATTGTTCTTTTGGTAAGAGGATTTATATATGGTTTATTATATTCATTTTGGAGACGATCTATATCATTTTCATTAAAATAATTTTTTAATTCTTGAATAAATGTATTTTCCATTTATATATTTTTTTATTTTTTATAAAATTATTTATTTGTGAATAATATTGAAGTTGTATATTTTTCATTTTTATTCTATATTAAAAATATAGAATAACAAAATGTATATTAAATATAATAAAAAGGATTATGAAGTAGAAGTAAGTGATGGAGATCAAGATGGTGATAATAAAGATGATAGTAGTGATGAAGGAGACGACGATATAGAAAAGATAGATTCTATTAAAGAAGGTATGGTGGAAAATGTAGATTCTAGTAGTAAAGAAGCTGGTGAAATAGATTCTGAAGATGGTAAAGAAGTAATAGATTATAGTAATATAGTTTCTAGCAGTGAAAAAGGTGGTGGTGGTGAAGAAGAAGATTCTGAAGATGGTAAAGAGGTAATAGATTCTAGTAATATAGTTTCTAGCAGTGAAAAAGGTGGTGGTGGTGAAGAAGAAATAGATTCTGAAAATGGTAAAGAAGTAATAGATTCTAGTAATAAAGGAAGTGAAGAAGATGATAAACGAGATATTGATTCTGACATAGAAGAAGTAAAATTAGAAGATTCTAGTGTAGGTGTCAATAATGTAAGAATATGCAGTAGAAAAAGAAGATTTGCATCAGGAGGAGGAGGAGAAGGAAGAAGAAGTAATGAGGAAAATGAAAGCAGTACAGTTTTTGAGAGAAAAGCAGTAAAAGAAGAGCAACTTTCTGGTAGTGGAGAAGATGGTATACAAAGAAGGAACAAAAGAACAATAGAAGAGGGAAGAACAGTAGTAGTGAGAGGAGGAGGAGGAAGTGGTACTGGTAGTGGAGAAGATGGTATACAAAGAAGGAACAAAAGAACAATAGAAGAGGGAAGAACAATAGTAGAGAGAGGAGGAAGTGGTACTGGTGGTGGTGATGATGAAAGTGATGAAGAAAGTGATGAAAGTGGTGATGATGATATTTCTAGCGAATTAAAAGAATTAAAAATATCTAAAATAACAAATTTAATTAATTCTGAAATATCCCGTATATTAGTAATAACAATACTCATACTAATTATATTAGCTATGATGAATTTACATTGGTCTTTCCTTTATATTATAATATTAATAATATTTATAATGATACCAGTTATTAGTAAAAATATAGCAATATTATTACTAGAATATTGGGAAATTGAAATATAGTACAATCAAATTCTAAAATTTTTTTACATGATCTGGAATACTTAATGTAAAAATGTACAAGCTAATTTGGCCATATTATCTACATAATCATGTTCTTTTAATCCAATATGTGCTGGTATCCACAAAAAATTAATTTTAAGTTTTTTGTATATGTTACTATAATTATCTAAAATGGATTGTAATCCACTATGGGAGTCACAATAATTCACAACTATTACAATCAATCCAATTATTCAGACGAGGCATTTGGGTTGCAATACATTTATTATATTTGTAAACAATATAGGCACAACCAGCTGTTCCATCCTGTTGTACAGATCCATCAGTATATATAGTAACTAACTCAGTTGTACTGCTGGTACTGGAAAGTTGCTTGGTAAGTTGACCAATTTGTTTAATAGTCTTTTTCTTCTGTATATGTTTGGGATTATATTTATTCGTCCTAGTATAATATACATTTTCAGTTGATTTCATCATCATTCTTCTTTTCTGAAAAAAAAAATGATAAATTAATTTCACCACCCCACTTTTTTTTTCTTCACAGCAGCAAATAAATAAAGCTAGCCAGCCTCAATTCCTCTTCGGAAAAAGGTTACAGTTTTGGTTAAAGTTTAATTTTTTGTATGGTGAATTAGTGCTTACTTTAGTCACCATTATCATAATGGTCTCTCGTCTCTCGGGTCCTAATGAACTCTTCAACACTGGCTGCAACAGGCCCGGGTAAATGGTAAGGGTAATTCTTCAACGTGTCCTTGTAGTTGTAAACTGTCATGTGACACAAGAACTTAAGCATGGGCACGTTTTTCCATTGTTTCATCTGCAGCAGATCAAATGACGAAGGCTCCTCTACCTGTAACCCATCTTTAGTCATAGAAAGCCAGATGTCATAAAGTTTGTACTTATCGGTAATGATTGACTTCAAGAAAATTTGGGCGTCAAAGGTAATATAGATCTCTCCGCCTCCTTGACATTCAAAACCAGTATAATCACAACCGGCGACCATCTTCTTCATCTTCTTCCTCTTCTTCATCATAATCTCTTAAATCATCCATCTCTATCTCTGTCTCTGTATCTTTATCTTTATCTTCTACATTTTTTTTATCCTCATCTTGTATTTTTGAGGATTTATTCTTTTTAGGTGGTTGAGTCATGGGCATTGTAGTTTTGTGGTATAATAACTACAATTAAATGTTGTTTATATATACTAGTTTAAAAAAAGTAAAAAATTAAAAATATTTTCATTTCTGTTGTTGTTGTAAATAAGAAAAAATTTTTATAATATCTAATGGGTTAGGAGAAATTTTATCTGGTCGAGCCCTACAAATTTGTTTAATATTTTGGGGATTTTCAGTACATAATAACACCTCATAAATCATTTCGTCTTCTAAATGTGAATAATCATATTCGATGAGAGAAATTGATCGAGGAACTCTATTATTATACAGTATTTTTTTACCTTGAATAAAAATATAATATAGAGCTAATTCATTTTTCATTTTATCAGACAGTAAACACAAAATATCCATTCGTTCAGTTGCTTTAAATTCAGAGGATACTATATCTACAATTGCTAAAGGATTATATTTATGTTGATTTGTTTTATATAAATTAGTTTCAACTACAAAAAGAAAATCAATTAAAATATGAACAAGGTACTCATTCAATAAATGAGTATAAGATGTACTTGATATTTTTGTAGTAATACAAAAATGTTGTTGTGAAAATTGTAACATACCACATTGTCCATCTAATTTTGGAAGTCTATATTTAAGAATTTTTTTATCATAAAATTTTTGAGTTTTTAGATTTGTACTATTACAATTTTCTCTCTCAATATTATTATCCCAGACTTCTTCATTTTCCTCCCTTATGTGAATAGGTATACTATCTTTATGAAACTGTTTCATCTCTAGTGGAATGGGACTAAGAAAAGCATTTAGTCTCCATGAAGCATGCCAATATAAAGTTCCTGGGCGTTTTGTTTCTAAGGGGACTCCCTCTGAATTTAAAAGGAGGGGTGGTCCCGTTTTAATTTCACTCAAATTTTCATTTTCCAAGATCATGGGAAAAATTCTAGTATGGTCATTAGGTTTATAACGATGGTAAAGGATAGTTTTTGTTTCATAATCATGCAGATATGTTGTTTTTACACTTAAACTGGTCCCTTCTAAAAATGTAGCTAACCCAATTAATTTAGGACCAATGGTGTCACCATCACCATTAGCAGTAGCAGTTTCCAAAAGTTGTATAAAATAACTATTTTTAAAAACTTTTCCCTCTAAATTAGTATATACAATTTCCAAAGTCTGTGTATCTCTTCGAAATATAAGTGATTTATCTATATTTTTTTTATACTGTATAAAAAAACTATTTTTATTAGGATCGATTATTAAACGATAATCATTTTCAACCATTTCTAAAACACGAGAAATGTAATTAGACCTTGGTGTTGATTCGCCTGGTGTACCATTTAATCGCACTTGAACTAAAGGGTGGGTTATATCAACAAAACGCTGACATTCTGTTTCTGTATACATATTTCTGAAGGTTACAAGTGTTCCCTGAAGAATGCAGTGATGGGTAGGGAAACACCGGTAAACACTGAAGTCTGTATATAAAAAGGATAGGAGAAATACAAGTGGAGACTAGCGTGGTGCCATTCACGGCTCACACAGTCAGACTGAGACTGCCTTGCCATATGGCATGCCTCAAGCAATGTTGCCACATAACACGTGCAGTGCTACACACTATATACATAGATGTTACTCGGCACAGTAGCTTATATACAAGGTTGCTACCGCACAGTAGCATAGATACATAACCTACATCTCCTCCCCTCACTTCATAGTCTTTGTGGTGGTCTTGAGCGGACTCTAGTCCTAAGTCGCCTCCGGAAAGGCCAAGGGGTGCACTGTGGGGCGGATCCGTGGAGATGTAGGGACCTGGCCCCCGGCTCAGGGGGCCAGCAGCAGAGGGAGGTGGACTGGCCGCCGGCATCCTGACCTTGTAGTCCCGCCGACCGGCCGACGCCTATCACCCATTATGCCCAATTTTGTCCCAACGTCGTCGCTGGTCCTGGACGCGACAAGGGCACCAATCTCCAGTGGTTGAAGAGGGCGGGCACGGTCGCCATATCGAGCCTTTTGGCGCCCTGGGCACGGTGGAAGCGGGCGCTGCGTCGCAGTTTTCTGCTCTGGTCTGCCACCTTCGCAAAGGCCTGGCATGTGCAGGAACGCAAGAGTGAGAGAGGGTGACCATACAGGGTCTGGGCAGGGAGCCGGCCCTGGTGTGGTGGGAGTATTATGCACCCAGGAGTCCTTTGTCAAACGCCCCACAGTCTATGCTGCCTGAAGGGGCCGCCTTGAGGATGAGGTGCTTGATTGTCTTGACCACAGCTCAGCATGGCCGCTGACTGTGGGTAGTGGGGTTATTAATGATGTGGCGGACTCTAACGCCCACAGGAATCCTGTGAAGTCTCCGCTGGTGAATCAGGCCCACCGTCTGGCCCGAGACGACGGGACGCCCAGGTCACGCAAAGAGGTGCCGAAGTGGCGAATGGTGGCCGCGACGTCGCGGTCCGAGCCACAGATTACTCTACAGGCTGCCAGAGAGTCGGCGGTCGGCGCATAACCAGGAAATGTTTCTCAGCTGTGCTGAAGAAATCAGCCGACACGGACTCAAAGGGCCTGGTGGGTTCCTTGTCGCACAAGAGGGGTTCATGTTGACTGGGCTGGCGGATCTGGCACGCTCACAGGCACGGGACCGTGATGGACGATATCCGTCAATGCCGGGCCAGTACACAGCTTCCTTTCCTTGCGCTGGGCGCCAGGCCTCACCCACGATGGCTGCCGTGTAAGCCGGCCAGAACGCGACGCACGGAGAGCTGCAGGGACGAACACGGCAACAATCGGGTAGACAGGACGAGGTCCCCATCTGCGAGGTCCTCACGATCTTCCAATATGGGCGTAGGGCGTTGTGGAGGTCAAACGGTCGAACCCAGTCCTCACACTTCCAAGAGCTGAGTGTAGGGGTCAGCAAGCCGCGGGCCAGTAGTTCCTCAAGGGCCAGATCGCTGTCGGGTGGCTTACACTGAGGCCTGGTGCTGGGCGTAGGGACTGTACGCCTGCAAGGTGACGTGATGTTGTTGACGGAGAAACCACCGGTTTTGAGTATATCTCGCCTTTCAGGTGTAGGGCGGTTGACTGGGGAGAGCGGAGAGGCATCCGGGATGCACAACTTCTACCTGGCGCTTAAGTCATGTGAAGACGAAGGGCCAAAATTTTCTCTTCAGGCGCTGGAGGCGGGATTTCGATGGCGTCCCAGCTAATAGTGATTAAGAATGGGGACCAAGGGCCTGTGGTCTGTGATGAGTGTCGAAGTGCTGTAGGCCAATGAAGTAAAATTTACCCCTGATGTAAGGCTTCCATACTACTGCCAGCAGCTCCAGCTCATGGTAGCGCAGCGAGACAGCATCGGGTGGTGAAGCGAGAGCCACTACTGTACGCAGCCGGTGCTTTCCTCCACCGTGATCCGGAGGAAGGGCGTAGAATTCAACCCGTGACAGGCGCGAGGCGTCTGGTTCAAGACGGTGGGGGAGCTGGGTTGAAAGTAGCGATAGGTGGACTTGGTTGGGCCTCCTTCACCTGGCGAAAGGCGAGGCCGTGGTCAGGGGTCCACATGAAAGTCCTCTTTGGGGCTCATCAGGGGCGGAGAGGCCCGACAGCTGCGGGAGACGCCAGAGAAAATTTGCCAGCTGGTTTCAATGCAGGCCCATGAAAGACCTTGGTATCCGTAGCGGATGGCAGGTTTTTGCAAGTCCGGGCTATGGCGCGAACTTTTCCGGTCCCGCAGCAATGCCATCCTTGAGAGTCGAACAGAGAAAGACACTGCAGGTGCGGCTAAGACGAACTTCTCGCATTCAGAGTGATGCCGCAAGGCCCTACACCGGGTCAGTATTCCTCGTCGATGTGGCGAAGGTGCGTCAGGTAGTCCTCATCGAGAGGAGGACGTCATCCACTACCTTCACGCAGTTGGTCACGCCTGAAGTGCTATGTCACCACGGAGACAGAAGGCGCCCCCGTGAGCAGCGTAATCCTATAGGCCACGGCAGGCAGAAGCGCCCCGAAGGCGTGATGAAGTGGTCAGGCTGATCCCTTCTTCAGTGGATCTGCCAGTAACCACAGAGGGCGTCCATCGTCGAGAGAAGCGCTGTACCTTCGATCCAATAATTCGTGATAGCTGCAAAAAGGTGGGTGGAAGGGGTGGGCGGGCGACACCTGGCTGTTACGCTGGACAAGTCGGTAGTAATTCGCACACCACCGCTAGTCTTAGCCAGCCGCACTAGAGGGTGGCATCAAGGGACGGGTTGCCACTAACGGCACGATGACACCTGGCTTACCATGGAATCCAGTTCTTCGACTGAATCCCTGAAGTAGAGGGGATCAACCGGGAGTGTTTTAGGCAAACGGGGCTGTGCATCTTCCCCGCAGGTGT